TTTCTTCAAGTGTTGCCCCTGAACTTTCTCTTAGAATTTTCATAGTTTCATGTCTTAAGTTTAAGTCCTTTAACCAGTGAGAGTCAATTTTTGTTAAAGGAGAAAGGTGTGGATCCAATTTCAGTTTTCTACAAGTCGCCAGCCAATTCACCCAGCCCCATTTGTTAAATAGGGAATCTTTCTCCCAAGTTATATTTTTGATAGGCTTATCAAAGATCAAATGATGATAAGTGTCTGGGTTCATCTCTTGGTTTTCAATTCTTTTCCATACATCTTCTTTTGGAAAGATGTTTGGAGAACACTCAGGGATCTAAATGTAGACCTGCCATTTGATCCTGCAATTCCTTTACAGGTCTATATCCAAAAGACCAAAAATCACTTGACAACAAAGATATATGTACCAGATTGTTCATTGCAGCTCTATTCATAATTGACAAGTCTTGGAAGAAGCTCAAGTGCCCACTGACACATGAATGGATTAATAAATTGTGGTATATGTATACCATGGAATACTATGCAGCATTAAAAAATGGAGACATTACCACTTTTATGTTTACATGGATGGTGCTGGAAAATATTATTCTTAGTAAAGTATCTCAGGAATGGAAAAAAAATTCAATGTACTCAGTACTACTATAAAACTAATTCATAATCACTCACACTTTCATATGAGAGATGAATCTCAACTATAGTCCAGGATGAAGGAGAAAAGGAGAGCGAGATGGGAAGGGGGGAGGGTAGTTTGATAGAGGGAGGGTTAAGGTGGGATCACACCTATGGAGCATATTGCAAGGGTTCAAGTCAAATCTATCAAGTATAGAATACAAATGTGTTAACACAGTGATTAAGTAAATGAGGTGAAAGCTATGTTAATTAGTAGGATTTAAGCACTCCAATTTGTACAAATAGTCAACACATTGAATGCCATTAAGGCATCAATGTATTCATGATCTATCATTGAATAAAAAAAAAAAAAAATCCAAGATTCTTAACTATCTCCCAATCAACTGAGGATAGATACTTGACCACTCTAAAGCTCATTTTTGCAACTCTAAATGTGTGTAATAGAATAATAATGTCTATCTTATAGGATAGTTTTGAGCATTAAATGAGAAAATGGATATATGAAAGATAAACAGTATTTATTAAGTGTTTAATAAATGATATCCATTTTAACAAAATGATAATTATAAACAATATTTGTTATAAGGAACTGGAGTTTAACTGTAAAGAATAGGAAGTAACGTGATTTGGTTTAGTATAACTAGCCTTATAAAACTATTGGCTATTCTACATAAAATTCATCTACAACAAGGTCAGCATGTTTCCACCCCTATATGTCCAGCTGCATGTTTGGATAACCAGATCAGATAAAGCCATCAGAATATTCGACAGCAGGTTTTTAGAACTGGACTAACATGAACTTCATGTGCTTCAGTTTCTCTGGAGGATGTGTTAATATGATTTAATATGATGAGATAAGGAAGGAGAGTAATTCGTGTAAGTCAAAATATTTGAGATTACTAGGTATGACAGCACCCACTCCTTATAATCTATTCATTTAAATATGCATTTGGAAAAGAATATATTATCTGCTAAATGAGCATGCCCAGAAAAAAAAAGTTGTGCTCTTCTGAAACTGTTCATCTAGGCTTACTGTATGTTAACATACTTGGAATGTAATATAAGTCATAGATAAGCAATAGGAATGACTTCACTAATTGTGAGGCTTTGCTACTAGAATGTTGAGGATCTAAATAAACAAACTCATAAGTTTTATTCCTTATATTGCCACTATGCACAAGAATTTAAATAACAACTGTAGTTACGTAGTATTCTCAGGATAACATAACACCAGTGCTAAGAGGAGGAAATTGTAAAAATGAGTGAGAGCTGGTATTGCCGCGTTTGTGCATTCATTCTTCCACTGACTTCCTTATAGCCTCCAGAGCTTGTAAATTTATGGATTACAAATCTAAAGAGGCTGTCTTGCCCAACACCACTTGTTGCAAAGAGTTTTAAATAAAATTAAGAGGAATGAAAAGAATTTTTTTTTTTGAGACAGAGTCTCATTATGTCGCCCTCAGTAGAGTGCTTCATATCACAACTCACAGCAACTTCAAACTCCTGGGTTTAAGCTATTCTCTTGCCTCAGCCTTCCAAGTAGCTGGGACTACAGGGACCTTCCATAATGCCCAGATATTTTTATTGTTGTTCAGTTGTCATTGTTGTTTAGCTGGCCTAGGCGGGGTTTGAACCTACCAGCCTCAGTGTTTGTGGCTGACACCCTACCCACTGAGTTACAGGCTCCATCAAGAACTTTTTTTTTATTTTTGTTTTTTTTTTTATTTCCTTGCTTATTTTTTGTTTTTATTTCTTTGCTTTGTTAAGGTGGTGGTTGTTGTTGTTGTTGTTGAGACAAAGTCTCACCTTATCCCCTGAGCAGGGTTCAATGGCGTTATAGCTTACTGAAGCCTCAGACTCAGGCTGTGGGCATCCCGCTCACCGTGGCACCCAGCTGGGTTTTCCATGTTTTTCATGAGTCAGGGTCACACTCTCGCTCAGGCAAGTCAAGAAGCCAAGTAGAATGTGACAAAAACATGAGTAAGGACAGTTTGTAGTGACTTGGACTATCTGACTTGAA